ATATATTAGATTATGTTTGTTTACTCCATAATTTAAGAAAGCAATAAAGGCCCCCTGGATTAGATCTTTCTTGTCAGTAAAGGAACACCTGTTCTAAAAACACTGCCTTGGGCCCTTGGTGCTTCTAGTAAGTCATTAACTAAACAACTTAACCTACTGGTTATTATTCCCTAGACACCCTGTGCAACATGCCTGGTAGTGTGCTAAGAAAATAAATCATTTCTCAATTAAACTTGTCATTTCAATAGCATAGATTTCTAACCCCATAATAAAACAACACTAATGAAACTGATTAGAATCAGTTTCTAATTTATTTTCATTACTGAAATGTTAGAAGAGCATCTGCTGGAGATCCTAAATTCAATGTCTATGAACTTTGAGAGGCACATCAATTATATCCTAAGAATGATGCCTGAGTGTTTTTGACTTCCTCTGTCTGATTCCCTGTAACATCACCACCTTTGCTCCATCTGTGGGATTCAGCCAGTTTCAATGTCTTCAACTGTAGAGAAGCACAGCTGGATAGAACTTGCTGTGATGATGGAAATGTCCTATATATGCATTTCCAATATAGTTGCCAGCAACCACATATAGCCAATGAATCCCTGAAATCAGAATGGAAAAGAATCAACTAGACATGGCAATTGAGAGGTCATTCTTAACATTGGGCAGAGAAATTCTATGGAATTAATGGGGGTAAATGCTTATTATAGTGGCTTAAGGAGCAAATGGGAGATGAGGAAGTAGAGCCAGCACGTGTACTGGGAAGATGAGGTAGAGAGTGCAGTGGAGTAGAAGAAGATGGACATATCAGAGCTCTACTCGAAAAACCATTGTTCTGGCAGCCATGTGAGAAATGGATGGAGGAAGGAAAAAACTAGAGTTTTGTTTAGCTTTAATTGAGGAAAAATATGAGTTAAGCTGAGGTTTTCTAACATTTAGTGAAGGCAAGTGGTAATGTAAGAATAAATTCCAGTTTCCTAGGGAAAATGGAAACATTTATTGTCCTTGATGGTGTGACTATTACCCAAGAATAAATGAAATAGTTAGTTGTAAGACTTAAAACATTTCATTTTCCTCTGAAATTCTGTAAGAATCCATGACACTACAAAAATAAGGTATTCTAGCATTTCTTTTCATAAGAAATTTTATAAGTTCCTAGCACTGAGATGAATTTGTCCAAAAAAAAAAAAAACACACATGCATTTTTGCACTTATCTATAATTACTTCTTAAAGGTAAATGTAAGTTATAAATTCTGAAATAATAAAATGTAATTTCAAATTATAGAATCTATACTTATATATAACTAGACGCCCGGTGCATGGATTCATGCACCACTGGGTCCCTTGGCCTGGCCTGCAGGGATCAGTGGACCTTCGCGCTGCTGCAGCCCAGCCTTACCCACCAGCTTGTCGGGCTCCAGCCCACTGTCCGTGTGGATCCCGCACAGCACAAAGTAGTGTGCAAAGTGGCAGGTGGCGGGGGAGGAGCCTGAGCCCAGGCTGGGCACCATGCTGCTCCCACTCATCCTGGCCATGCTGTGCCTGCCACTGCTGCCACTCAGTAGGCTTGCTGCCACTCCTCTGCTGTCTTGGCGCACCTGTCCTAGGGCAATACCAGCGCACCCATGGCCACGCAGCCACTGCTCGTCATGGCAGCCTCTCTCCTCATGCAGCGCTGGAGAAGCAGCCACGGGCTCTCACCCGGTGAGTCTAGAGATGCCAGTCCCGATCCCAGTCCTGGTCTAGATGGGGGAGGGGCACGCAGGGGGAGTGTCCACAGAAGAGGCTCGGGCAGCCACAGCTGTGCTCGCCAGTCAGCCGTGAGCCCGACATCTGGCACCCATTGGTCAGCTGAGCAGCGTTCCTGCTGTGGGAGCACACTGACCACCAGGGGGCAGCTCCTGCATTGAGCATCTGCCCCCTGGTGGTCAGTGTATGTCATAACTACTGGCCAGTCGTCTGGTCGCTTAGGCTTTTATATATATAGATAATACTAATCAAAAGTTGGACTTGCCTGAAATCATAGCACTTTAGAACGGAATGGATATTTGTTAAAGTACTTCATTTTAATGGGTAAGGACCAGAGACCTGGAAATAATATATGACTTGGCCAAGCTTACCCAGACAAGACTCAAACCCACATCTTTAGACTCCAAGCCTGGTGCTGTTTTGAAAAAAAGACTGGCTAGATGATGCACCGAGATATTTTTGTACTCCTGTGTATTACAATAAGAAAGAAAATAGAAAATTTCTAACTGCATGCGTCACTGGGGACAGCGAACCTTTCTCTTCACATTTCTATAATTAGTACCATTTCCCTCTGGACACATTTTTACTATTTGCACTGTGCTCCCCATAATTTTTGCTCATTTTTCAAAATTTCTTAGTCATTATCCTGCCTGCTAGGAAATTTGACCCAAGGAGAAGTCTAACTTCCTTTCAATTCTCGCCAAAGTTTCTTTCCTTACTGAAAATAGGAAGATGAACCCTAGCCGGTTTGGCTCAGTGGATAGAGTGTTGGCTCATGGACTAAAGGGTCTCCAGTAGATTCCCAGTCAAGGGCATGTACCTTGTGGTTGCAGGCTCAATCCTCAGGGCACATGTGGGAGGCAACCAAATGATGTGTCTCTTTTATGTTGATGTTTCTCTCTCTCTGTCTCTGCCCCTCCCTATCACTCTCTCTAAAAATCAATGGAAAAATATCCTTAGATGAGGATTAACAAAAAAAAAAGAAAATAGGGAAGATGGTATATTGGTAGGTTAGAGGAAGAAAGGTGGTCTTTAAAGTTTCAATTCTTCAAAGCATTTCAGTATTCAAATACTGAAATCAAGTTTTCAGGATTACATATAGATAGTAGCTAATTCAGGCTAAGGGATCCTGGTGTGTTTTGTGTTTGTACAAAGAAACTAGGTTCTATATTTTCTGAGCTGAAGTTGTAGGCTGGTAATTTCGTCCATGGAAAACCTAGTAATGGTCTAATACATAGAAGGCCAATGTTTTTTTGTGTGTTTATTTGTTTGTTTTTTAAGAGCTGGGAAACTCCTTTTGGAAAACCCCTCAAAGAGTAGAAGTCAAATGTGAATGGTATCATGCATCCCGCTTGTGACACACTAGTCCATTTCTGAAAATAATAGCACTTTTTCAAAATGAAGTCATTTATATTCTTAGCCATCCTCTATTGTGTGCACTGAGTAATTTCTTGAGAGCAATGTTTCCTATGGCACATTGCCAAGACTGGCTTTATTTGTTTTTCATTAGGCTTTTCATTATCAGACCTGCATCGTTATGCCTCATCCAAGAGCACCAGAGCAGCTCAAGCATAGGGATGGTACTAGGAGTAGGTAGAATGTTTTTGTCCATTGGATGCCCGTTTTAAATCCCTAGCTATGGCACCATTCTAATGGCTTTCATCTTTCTAAGACCAGTCATTTCTCCATTTATAATGTAGTCCGATATGAAATTGTTTACATCAATCTATGCTGTCCCTGTCCAGGGAAAGACATTAGTCTCACTTTGCACACACTGGGCTGGCCCCTTCTCCTTTATTATCTCAAGGAAAGGCATCATGAATCACCCCTCTTGCCCAAGCCTGGAACCAGTGTGTATTCTGCATTTCTGCATCATTCCATGCTTTCACTTGCCAAGGCAAACTTCTTGATAGTTTTCAAGTCCCCTTCTTTCTTTCTATGTCCCACAGTCTAATCCCAATCTTTAGAACAACTAAAGTGGCCTCCTCCTGGCCCCAGGCCCCAGGGTTTCCCTTTCCAGTTCATCCTCTTTTGCTTTCAATTTCATCACTACCCATTGCTCTCCATAAATGGGTATTCTGTAACTTCTATTCATAAAAGTTTTCATATTACACATTAAGAGGACAGAGTTTGATTTGTCCAGAAATGTAGCGATCTGAATTCTTGAACTCTCCTATAGATTCCTCAATTTAGCTTACAAACCCCAAAAAACAAATGTGTGTATATTAATTAGAGGTTTAAAACATCATTGAAATCAAAGAACTTCAGGACTAGATCGGCCCTTGAAGGCCGTGGAGCTCAACTTCGTCATTTTATAGGTAAGGAAGCAGAGACCCAGCCACAAAAACCAAATTGATCTTTCTAAGTTTGGGATCACATCATGTAACTCCTTAAAAATTTGCCCAGGGATCCCCATTATGGGCAGGATGAATTCTGAATTCCACAGCATGCCATGCAATGTCTGTATGTCTGGCCTCTGCTTGCCTTTGCAGTCTTACCTTTTGCTCCTCTTTTCAACTTACCCCAGAACTCAATGCTTCCAAGGACACTATTCTTTTTAGCCACAAGACATTACTCATTCTTCTTTTTAGCCATTAGACATCATTTCGTCTGAAAACATACCCTTGGTCCCCTCTGGGCTCCCAAGACCATGTCACCATTATAGCACATTTACATCACTCTGACTGCCTTTGAACAGTCTGTTTCCATCACTGCACTAGAAGGAATAATGACAATTGTGGGTAGGGACCTGTGTCTTACTCATTGTTCTAGCCCCACATCTTGACCAGGTGTCTTGCAGTCACTATTTTGAGATTAACTCTCACTTTTAACCTCGTCTATGCAATTTTTCCATCAGCCCTCCTCACAAAATCTGTTTTCCTGGGGGAAAAACAAAACTGATTCATTCATATCAAGGTATAAGTCATGGATGGTTCTAAATGGCACTGCTCCCTAGAAGCATTTACATTTTTAGGGGGACAAAGTTTTAAGTCAAAGGAATGAGTCCCCAGTGCAGATAATCCAACCAGAAATAGTAAATCATGAGAGTATTGGTGAGGGAAAGGAAGTTTTCCCAGAACTTTCAACATGAGTGACTCCCTCTAATCCTACCCTCATAGAAACATGACTATTTTATCTATAAAATTCAGATCATATGTTGGTTATTTGTCTCTGTGTTAAATAAATCATTATTTACCCATAATAAAAATGCCTGACTTAACTTACAACATTTCTGGTTTTGTTTCAGGGAAGCAATGTTATGGAAGATCAGGATTTATTGGAAATTGGGATCCTTAATTCTGGGCACAGACAGAGAATTCTACAGGCAATCCAGCTCCTCCCCAAGGTAAGCCATGCTTATTACCCTCACTCTAAATACAGTCCCAGTGGTTTAAGTCCAGATGTGCAAGGGGTGTCAGTAATTAGGACATTTCCACAGATTGATGCAACTCCCCAAAGCAGGTCTTTAGACTTACCTACAAGGATGCAATACAGGAAACACCACTGGCTAACAGAGCAGCATCAGAGTTTCTCATCTGTGAGAGTCCTTATATCAGTACAAACATCCGCCTAGGCCCCTCAAGTACAAGAAGATAAGATCAATATTGGATGGATACAGGGATGTTCCTGGATTAGAAGCCTCATGCCCCATAAGAGGCAATATCGCCTATAACAGCTCCAGAGGCTTAGCCTCCAGGGACAAGGGACCTGCCTAATTACAAGAGTCATCATTTGGCAAAGTTCAAAGCATCGCATCCCCATCAGGTATGTATAGTTCATGTGTAAATCTTTCCAGTCCAGATGCATTTTGTAAGTAGTATGTTACCTAGCAACAGAGTTGACCTTCTGTGTCCAGATAAGGTTTCATAGGAGCCTAAAGTAAGAGGTAGGATCTGAGCATTGGTCTTCAAGATAGATAATATGTTAATTGGTAATGAAAGGAAATGGCATTTCAGAAGCCAGAGGAACCCAGGTATGGTCCAAGCAACAAACTGCCAGAGTGTTAGGGGAATAGTGACACTGTATGATTTAGAATCCGATGGGATTTGCACAGCAATGTGAATGTACTTAATGCCCCTAAACTATACACTAAAAAAAAAATGGTTAAGGTGGTTAATTTTGTTATGTCTTTGTTATTCGAACAAAGTTTGGTTATTTCTTTTCATCACAATTAGAAAAATATTTTTTAAAAAGGAAGAAAAAATCCAATGTGATTAAAACAATAGGAGAGTGGAGTCAGAGATAAAGCAGAAAAGGTAGTTGGGTCAGTTGGTGCAGGCTAAGGAATTTGGAATTTATTCTGTAAGCTCTGGGGAACAGACATGACTAGAATGCTCTAGGTCACCTCATTTTAGAGGAGTACACGATAGGAACTAGGAGGGGAAGTTGAAGTTGAGTCATCCAGCTGGGAAAAAATTGGGGACGGGGGTAGGATGGGGGAATTTGAGGCAGGGTAGCAGGATGGGAAAGATATATATTAACCATTGTTTCTAAGGAAGGGATCTGATGATATTTGCCAACTGACAATAAACTGAGTTGCTACTTAACACTTTTGCAAATTCAAGGAGAGTCAAGCATACAAAGAAGGTTAATCATACAATTTTCTCCACTAAAAGGAAAAAAAATAAAGCATCCTTAGAACTAATTCTAGAAGTAATTCTTTAAGTGTATTGTTCACCTCACTACTTTTGAATCTTTACTTAAAATATTACTTGGCAAGTTTTCTCCTTATTGTCAACAAGAGCTTCTGCACTGCTATGCCCACAACACCTAGACCAGTGCCCAGCCCATGGTAGGCACTCAGTAAATCATTGAATGACTCTCCCCTTGTCATAGTGCTGCCCATCATTTGAAGTTCAGCTCATGTTGTTCCATGTCACTCACTTCCTTTGTGAAATTTTCCCTAAAGTGGAGCTGCTTCTCTCTACCTTGGTAATTATCACCCTCGTTCAAACCAACTGCCTCTGACTGGACTACACTAGATTCTAATCTGTCATCTCTAGGTTAGACTAGTTGAGTCCATTTCTCCTTGGTTCTCTCTAGCCTGGGCAATTCATATATGCCTAATCTCTGTCCTAGGTACCTTTCTTACCACTCTACAATTACATTTACACACAGCATCAAGAACAACCCTTCTAAAATGTATATTATATCATGCCACATGCCATGACCTGCTTAAAATCTCAAATGACCGGCGCTGGCTGGTGTGGTTCAGTTGGTTGAGCATCGTCCCATGCACCAAGAGATTGCTGGTTGGATTCACAGTCAGGGCACACGCCCAAGTTGCAGGCTTGATCCCCAGTGAGGATGTGCAGGAGGCAGCTAATCAATGTTTCAGTCTTTCATCAATGCTTCTCTCTCTCTCAATCTCCCTTCCTCTCTCTAAAGTCAATAAAAACATATTTTTTTAAAAAAATCTCCAATGGCCTACAAAAGTCAATAGAATCTGGCCCCTTCTCACATCTATGACTGCAACCCTCACGCTCCCCTTCTCCTGCACTCTCATCATAGGATTTATTTTTGTTCAAAAACTTGCCAAGCTCATTTTTGCCCCAAGGTCTTTCCATATTGGATTCTGACTGGAAAGCCTTTTCTTCAGATCTTTATTCACTTGCTTCCATACATAATCGAATCTCTACTCAGCTGTCACCTCCTCTCAGAGGCCTTCATGATCTCAAAGTCACACTCCTCGCTCATTTACACTGCCCTTTGTATTGTCCTACTTTAGTTTTTTCTTCATGGTACTTATCGCTACCCCAAGTTATATTATTAGTTCATTTTTCTTTCTTATTTTCCACTTCTCCCTGAGGATGCAGGTTCCCAAGATCAGGGACCATGACTATTTTATTCCCTTCTGTGTACGCATTCCCTAGAACAGTGCCTGGCACATAGTAGGTGGCCAGAATATTTGTGGAATAAAGGAATATATTGCTCTCTTTTTCCTCTGAGATTTGATAGTTCTACGCTTGTTCTCTCTGAAGGTACTGATAATATTATTACAAACATCCTTAGGACAGGAACAATGTCACATCCATCCTTGAATTTTCTACTGTGCTTACACATTAAAATAATAAAAGAATAGCCAGCTGGTGTGGATCAGTCAACATATGAACCAGGAGGTCACAGTTCAATTCCTGGTCAGGGCACATGCTGGGATCGTGGTCTTGATCCCCAGTAAGGGACATGCAGGAGGCAGCCCATAATGATTCTCTCATCGTTGATGTTTCTATCTCTCTTCTTCTCTGAAATCAATAAAAATATTTTTTAAAAGAATGGAAGAATTAGTGATTGAATGAATGAATAGTTTCCTCACATGTTATTCAAATATAATTTTTTTAAATCAAAGAGTACCTCAGTTTTAAAATATATCTTTAAGCTTATCCATGCCATTTAATAATGAGAAACAAAACCACTTGAACTCAGAATTATTTGGAGAATAAATGAAGTGTTTACTTTTAAGACAGAATATCATTCCTATTAGACAAAAACAATATCACAGAAACAATACAAAATTAAACTTCTATCAAGAGGCTGATGCAAAGTGCTTACTATGCACCCAAATGAACAGAGAATATATAAAAACATCCAAACATGTGTTCAGCAGCACAAACAGAATGTTATAATGCTACAAATTGATGCTTTGCTTTCTTAGGTAATGAGCCCAATCTTCAGATGGTTAATAGTGTAATTTTACTGCCAGCACATTCATTTGCATTCACTGTAACTTTGCACTGCCAGAAAATGGACAAAATGTCTCTTCGTCGTATTTATGCAATTTGGGTCTTGTGTTCTTCATCTGTCAGGTAAAATATCCCATGATTGCTACCTGAGGTCCTTTAATTAACAAGTGAGATTGTTCCTAAACAGAGAAAAGATGGTTTTCTAAGTGCGATCTTGACCTGTTAGCACACTTCAAGCCATGTTCTTCATGCTTTATTTGTGTTTGATGTTTCAAGTTTCAAAGACAAAAGCCTATTCCCTTGGTAAGAATGTTTTTTCTGGAATATGCCCTTTTTTGTATTGAAATGTTCACCACCACATGTTCTCAAGTACACTTGATACATTGAGCACAGAGAATACATTCGGTAGATTCTAAGCACAGACATCTGTAGAACAGTAATCACATTAATTCCCCCTCCACCCATTCTTTCCCTCTGTCTTTTGCAATGCTTAACCTTTCGTAGCAAAGTTTAATGTCAATGTTCACCCAGCATCCACTTCCTTCACCAACCCCAACTCAGTCTTTAGGTCTACAAGTTTCCCTGAACTTTTGAAGATCAAATTTCACCCTTCTCACTTTTAAGAAAGGAAACATACCAAAAGTTCCATGAGAAGATGACCTATTTGTTACTCTCTTAGAAACTGTAAGCATAATGGGCTTTTTCTGTCCCTTTGACACAGAGAAATTATCTGCTTATTTATTTGCAATGTATAATTTGTCTTTTACCGGATAAGAATTCTCTGTGGCCAGGTCTTTGGATAATCCTCTAAAATCCTTTTGAAAGGCCATAATCTCTTTTGTCCTTTGACAATATAACAACTGGAAGTCAGGAATTCAAAGGATATTTATTTTAAAGGTTTGTAGGACTTCATGTCAAGGCCCATATGTTCTCTTAAGATTTCTCATCCTGAATTGAGAATGTATTTCAGCATACTAGCAACTTTGAGATCACATGCTCACTTCACTTTTCAATATTTCCTTTTCATAATATCTTTTGGAATTATTTAGTAGTTATCTGAATACTTGTTAGCAAGTACTTGTCTCCTTGCTATCCTCCTTTCCCTTGTTTCCACTCATCTTTCCATCTACTTAGGTCTACTAGTTCCTTTTCTGCCTCAGCACACAACCAGCACTAAGGTCACCAGTGACCAGCAGAGCAGACATTCATAAGCCCTTTTCACCTTCACCTGACTCTGGCTTTGGTAGATTCTGATACTCTGAATTGTCTTCTTTTGGCTTCCCCGATACCTGATTATCTTCCTGCCTCTCTGATGTCCTCTTTCCTTGCCTGTTCATTCTCCTCAGTGAAATATTGCTCAAACTAAAAAATATCTGATGGCTTCTGAATGTTGTTATCATGGGATTCTTGATCATTGTACAGTTTCTTGTATTCACTGTTTTGTTCATTGCTACTCTACTTCTACTTTATTGCATAATGAACACCTGCATTTTAGCTGCCTTTATTTCTAAGTTCAGTTCAATTTAACCAACTTATGTTGGGCTACATAGTTCTTTGTTCTTTAATATATTTTTATTGAGGAAGGGAGAAGGAGCGAGAGATAGAAACATCAATGATTAGAGAGAATCATTGATCAGCTGCCTCCTGCACAGCCCACACTAGGGAA